GGGCCCGGGCTGGATTCGAACTCACCACCTTAGGTGTATGTGGCTGGCGCCCTAGCCGCCTGAGCCACAGGCGCCAAGCCAAGAAGAGGTTTCTTAAGACACAAAAAATAGTCACCATAATGGAAAAGATTGGTACAGTTGACTTCATTTAAAAAGCTTATCTTTAAGAGAACCTAAGAGAAGGAAAAGACTTGCCACAGAATGGAAAGGATGTTTGTAACGTAGATCAGCAGCAACAAAGGAACGGTGTTCAGAGCATTTAAAAACTCCTAAAAATAACATTTAAAAGGAATGTAATAGACAAATGGGTGCGTGTTCTGCACAAAAGAGGAAATGTAAATGGCTTAATGAACATGCGAAAAGCAGGTAAACAGCAACCAGAGCAATGCAAATTAAAATGCTATGAGACGCCCCTACAGACTCACTACATCGGCACAATTAAAACTGATCACACTAGTGATGATGGAGATGTAGACCAATGGGAAATCTCATTTTCTGCTGTTCTAACACTTTGGAAAAATATGTGGACACTGTCACAGCTTTGGAGAGGCACACACCCTGTGACTCTGGACCCCGCTCTAAGTGTATATCCTACAGAAGTATGTTACACATGCACTAGAAGACATAATTTTCATAGCAGCTCTTTACAGGAGAGCTAAAACTAAAAACTCAAATGTCCATCAATAAACTACTAGTAAAACTGTGGTGTGTAATCAGTAAACACAGGTTGAAGCACACTGACCTAGTTGACTCTCACAATGGCGAGGGAAAGAATACATCAGTAGAGTTCCATTTATCAGTAGGGTTCCACTTCTGTGTTCAAAAGGCAAAACAGGCAGGGCACGTGTGCGTGGTAGCTCACGCCTATAATCCTAGCACTCTGGGAGGCCAGGGCAGGTGGATAGCTTGAGCTCAGGAGTTGGAGACCAGCCTGAGCAAGAGCAAGACCCCATCTCTAAAAAATAGCCAGATGTTGATTGGGTTTTCATGTGCATGCGTGAGATGTGCCTCCCACAACTCTTGTGACGGTGTTGGCACGTTACCTGTCTGACATGAAGAAAAAACAATAGCCAGGTGTCGTGGCAGGCGCCTGTAGTCCCAGCTACTCAGGAGGCTGAGGCAAGAGAACTGCTTGAGCCCAAGAGTTTGAGGTTGCTGTGAGCTATGATGCCATGGCACTCTACCCCAGGGCAACTGAGTGAGACTCGTCTCAAAAAAAAGAAAAAGAAAAAAAAAAAAGGCAAAACTAAGCTGTTACTGGGGATGTGGCACAAAGGTTTGGTTCGACTAAGCACAAGGAAGTGATGGTCACTAAAGTCTAGAGGATGGAGAAGCCCATGGAGACTTCTAAGAGAAAAGCACAGTTCTCTTTCCTGACCTGGTGGTGGTTACACTGTAGCAGGAAACCCATGTAGACAGAAGACTCCAGGCACCAGTTGATCAGAGGAAGCGGCTTTATTTCAGCCAGGGGAACTTGGAAAACCAGTGTTTCCAAAACCGAGTGGAGGGCACCTGAACCCCCTGCCTCCCTTTTATCCACTTTTCAGGGCTAGAGTGCATGTGAGGGTCATAAAACTGAGAAGAACATGACATCATCCTCAAGGTCCTGGGCTCAAGGGGAAGGTCAGATTCATTGTGTCCTTGAGACCCGTTGGACCACTTGCCCTCAAAGGTGACGGAAGTCCAAGGAAGTTATTAGGTTACAATCTAGGCCAGGCGCATGTCAAGGGAGGAACATACAGATAACAGAAATGCCTGGGGCTTGGCTGAGGCCTACAGGGCGCTAGGACAGATTCTTTTAGCTCTGCTTTTACTTTCTTGCCTCAACACAAGTGGCCACTTTGTATAATAATTCTACACAGATATATCAGCCACCTTTCTGTGACCATAGCTCACAGAGAGAGTATGCTTGAGCCAGAAAGTGTGGAGTGAACAGCTCAGGCTGGCCCAACTTCTAGTCCTGATGCCTAGCACTGAGTGGCTGGGTGACCGATCTTTTCTATCTGTGTACTGGGGGAAGGGAGCCGTGAGGATGCAGTAAGCTACAGTACTGAAAGCACGAAATTCAGCAAGATCTGTCATTCCTGCCAAGAGGATGCTCCTCCCGCCCCCAAGGAACAACCTACCTATAGTAGAATCAATGTGTCTCTGCCATCATTTTAGTTGGAAGCAGGTCAGACTCTGGCTATATGCCTCATTCCCCGCCACTGAGTCAGAGGCCCCCTCGACTCTTGATTGTGGGGCTCTCTTCTTGCTCTGGGGATGGGGTGGACTGGCCCATGCCATGCCCTGAAGGTGGCCCTCTGGCTTCCAATAGCAGACCCAGGGTCATTCCTTTCAGACCAGCTGGCTTGGGGAAAGTCATTCTGCTTGTGGAATGTGTGAGGTTTTCAAATTCCAACAGTTGAACTGGGCAACATCCTCCACACAAAGATCAGAGTCTACTTGAGCAGCAGTTACCAAATAACTCAATCTGTAACAAACAGAAAAGATGAGAAATGTTTGTGGCAAAAATAAGGAATTGGAAGACAAAACAAACCCGGCCACCCAGGCTCTATTCCTTTTAGCCTCCTTCAAAGGTACCTAGGGGACCTCCCAGTAGGCAACACCTCCCAGGGAAGAGGAATGTGAGGGGAAGGGCACCCTGGCCCTGTTCCACCCCACCCCCCACCCTGCCCACCCCCAACCTCTGCCAAGGTCATTTCTCACCCCCTGCTGGTACTAGATGGCCTGCCATTCTCAGTCTGGACATCCCCCTGTGCCTGTGCAACACTGATTTGCTCCTCACTAAGTGAGCTCTAAGGACCTCAGATTCTTCATGTGCAAAATGGGGATAGTTTCAATTCCTACCTTGAGATTGCTTGGATACCCACCTAGGGGATGTACAGAGCACCTGGCCTAGGGGCTGCACAGAGCGCTCTCTTTAACTCAGCTCCTCTTCTCTGAAAGAAATGAACTGGGCTGGAGAAGTAGTGAAAGTGAAGTTCTGGGCAGGGGCAGCTGGAAGAGGGGCGTAGGCAGCAAAATGTGATTGTGGAGAGGGCCCCAGGGCTAATCTCAGACTCAGTGGGTGCAGATTTCAAGACCAACTTTGATTTCAAAACAAAGGGTTCTGGGTGGGAGATGGGGCTGATGAGACTAAGCCCAGAGAAGAGGCTGAGGTGAAGAGAGTGGTAGTGAACTTGGAGTTCTGAAAGAGAAGGGCAGTGGAGAGAGGCTGCCTTTGGGAGAGAAATGGGGCTGGGAAGTTGTTGAGTGCTTTAAACAGTTTGGAGACCTAGTTAGAGACCTGTAGCAGGGAAGCTGTGAGCCCACCAAGGCCTAGGTGTGGGTGAGGACCATGGGCAAGGGGGTAGATGGGCATTGGTTTACATCCTTATCTCCAGCAGCCCCACGTTGGGACCTCTCGTGGGAGGTGTCACCTATACCTGTAACAAGGGCTGGGCTGAAGGAAGCTCTCGGTCTGTGTCCGGCTGGCAGAGGTAGACACCCCTGGAGTCTGTGGACCATGGGTACTGGCTCCTGGACAATCTAGGCCACCTAGCCTGCTGGGCAGTGGGTCCCTCCTTAGACGGTCACCTGAGGCAGCCTGTGTGCAACCCCACAGTGTTATGAGCCAGTGGCCAGAGGAGCTCGGGCAGCCCTTCCAGTTGACCACTCACTGAATGCTGGAGAGGTCCAGAGCAGGAGGGCACCAGGCCACGAGGGCACCCGCTGACAGGGCTGTTAAAGCCATCTCTTCACATAATGTGTCTTGGTTACTCCTGCCCCCTCTTACCAGATGCGAGGGGAATAGCCTGAGGGTGGCGGTGCAGCCAGCCTGGCAGATTCAGTGCCACATGGAGGCCACCTTCTCTGAGACTTCTTAGTTTTTGATGCTGCTGGAGTCATGAAAACAAGCCTTGGCTGTTACAAGGAATAATACACACTTGAATAACAATAACTAACACACTTTGCCTCTTTCCTCAGATGTGGGATTTTAACTTCTCATGTGTAAACTTCCTCTCTAAAATGTAAATAAACACTCCTATCTCACAGTGTGGTGGTGGGGATGAAATGAGCGAATATACATTGAGAATTTAGCACAGGGCCTGGTACAGAGTGAGCATAAATCTGTACCAGTTCCCCCTATGAACCTGCAGGGTGGGCCTTTCTCTGAAAACTTTTAAAAAGACTTAAGAGACGGAACTAATTCCATAACTCCATTGCCTGTTATTGAGAAGTGGGGTTTTTTTGCACTGGGCTGGCTTTTGCTAGATTAAAAAAAAATTAAACTTAGGGTTGGGCACAGTGGCTCATGCCTATAATCCTAGCACTATAGGAGGCCTAATCCTAGCACTATACGAGGCCAAGGCAGGAGGACTGCTTGAGGCCAGGAGTTTGCAGAGCAGCCATCTCTACATAAAAGGAAAAAAATTAGTTGGGCATGATGGTGTGAGCCTGTAGTCCCAGCCACTTGGGAGCACTGCTTGAGCCCAGGAGTTTGAGGTTGCTGGGTGCTGTGATTATGCCACTTTGCTCTAGCCCAGGTAACAGAATGAGATTGTCTCAAAAAACAAACAAACAAAAAAATAAACTTAGTTAATACATCAAGATACATGGAATTAATATCCTGATGCAGGATTTCTCTTAAGAAAGCTAGATGCAAGGGATCACTTCTGAGGTTTATCTTACAGGGGTACAAGTGAATCTTTCTAAGAGTAGAATGTGAATGTTTTAAAACAATAACAGAAAATGACATGAAGGCTGTGCTGACCAGTTTGATGGAAGTATTTCAGATTGTGTGTGAAAACCCCACACTGTACCCTAGAAGTACATTAATGTACATAGTTACCATTCAATAAAAAAAAAAGAAAAGAAAAGAAAAAAGAAAGCTAGCTGCTAAGCACAGAGGAAGAAAAAGGTCATCACTACTGGAAAACTGCCAGAGCCCCCAGGGAGGCATATTAAACACCCTTTTATTAATGACAATCTTATGTAATAAGAACTTTCTCAGAGGTGGCACCTGTGGCTCAGTTAGTAGGGCGCCAGCCCCATATAGCGAGGGTGGTGGGTTCAAACCCAGCCCCAGCCAAACTGCAACAAAAAATAGCCAGGCGTTGTGGCAGGCGCCTGTAGTCCCAGCTACTTGTGAGGCTGAGGCAAGAGAATCGCCTAAGCTCAAGAGCTGGAGGTTGCTGTGAGCCACTCTACTGTGGGCGACAAAGTGAGGCTCTGTCTCTAAAAAAAAAGAACTTTTTCAGAGCTTTTACCAAGTATCTGGAAACGTTAACTAATTGACAGAAGGCACACTCAGCATTACCACAAAACACTTATAGAGCCTGTTTATTGCATAACTAGCAGGCACAAATTACAAAACAATTTTACAACACTTAAAGGGTACAATAATTACAAGAATAAAATGTACAATAAAAATGAAGAATAAGTACAGAATGAGTGACAAGGATCAAATACAGTGGGAAAAAAGGCATTTCATTTTTCCTATGCAGCATTGTCTTCTGTCAGAACAAATGTTACCTTTAACCAGAAGGAGGAAAGAAAAAAAAATTGCACTATTGGAAAGCTCATGGATGCTGCTGAGGACAAAACCATGCTAGTTTCATTCTTGGGTCTGCAAAGTCACTTGAGGAATTGTATGACAACTCCCAAGTTGTATGTTTATAGTTCCAATTTTATGAAATACAGATTTGATCTTTGGGCCCAATTCATTGTTCTTTGGCAAATCAGAACTATTTGCAATCTGAGGCGAAGACGATTTCTGTGAAAGGAGCTTAGTGGTAGAGCCGTTTCCTTCTGTTAGCCAAGTGCCAGTTTCATAAAGTGCAACTCTGTCTCACCAGCTTTGGGGGAAGATAGGGTGGCGTGGGGGGCGTGGGGGGAGGGAGGGATAACTGAGAATAAAGGGTAAAAAAAAGATTACAGAATGCAGACATTACTAGTGCAAGGCTGCAGAAGCCATGTGCAAAAGGTGGCTAGAACAAACGTTCAGACAAGGTGCGATTTGTCAACAGGAGCAGATAACTTTGACACCAGATCTCAGCTGAGGCTAAGAAAATGCGCAGGGCAGGAAAGGGACAGGATGACCCGCAGGCCTCAGCTGCGGACTTCTGTTTGGAGTTTTGGCACTGTGGGTTAACCAAGCAAACTCTTCTGTAATATTCTTAAAACTGGAAATGCTTTGTAGTTTCCACATTCCTTGATTTTTTTCCTAGGGGCTTAAAAACAATGTCCTCTTTTGCAAGTGCTCAAGGGAAGACATGGCTTCACCTACTGTAGACAACTCATTTCCCGGAAGACCCTACAGAAGACTGTGCTCCCAGGAGGCCAAGGGCACTGGTTCAGGATTGCCATGGGGCCTTGCCTGAGGACCTTGGTGAGCTCCGACAGTACACGAATCATGCAGAAAAGGTTATCAAATGGTACTTGATCTTCAAGTAGGAGGCCCCCTTCCAGAAAGCATCCCCTGAGCATCCAACAGCAATGTAGCATTTAGGCTGTGAGACCAACACACGGACGAGTCTCTTGCAAATGTGGACCTTGTTCCCATGCTACTTACAGCACAGCCAAGCCTGACAAAGGCATCCACACATTGGGACTGTGGGATGCCAAACACCACTGTGGTGGTACTTTCAGGACAGCATACGGTCAGGCTACAAAGGTGTGTGTGCATCAGTTCTGTGAAAACAGAGGCTTAGTTAAGCAGGGACTGAGGCAACTTGTACTTGGATTATTCTGACATCTTCACACGTGTGAATGAGCACTATGGGACAGGATGCAAGGTAAGAAGAGGAGAGGCAGTGACTTTACACAGGGCAAGGTAGCTACATTACAGGTAATGCTCAGAGGCTAATCCAGGTATGTCCAGGGAAGCCAGGCCCTCACAGTACAGTTTACAGGGCCCTGGGGCAGAGACTGTGAAGCTAGTAGCCAAGAGGCCACAGCTCACGGGCACACATTTTCTGAAAAGGCTCAAATTGGTTGCCAAAATTTATAAATGGAGAGATGGCACGTAAAAGAAAACCTTCTGATTTTCAGCTATCTCTTGAAAAATCAAAGCTCTGGCAACCCTAGACCCCTTCTCTGTCCCTACTGGGTGGCCCACAGGTTCCCCAGCTCTCCCCTCCACACTGCTGTGCGCCTGCTCTGTCAGGTCAGAGTCTGCACCACACCAACACAGAACTGCAGCAGTCACCAGGAACAAGAAGGTGCTCTATCATCAGAGACACTCCCAGCAGGCTGCAGCACCTAAGCGTGTACTTCTCCTTGACTCTGGGAGAGCTGGTGGCCAGCTAGAGCACACTCTCCAAGGAATTCTTGAAAGTTGATGTCCAATTTTTAAGTACCAGTGAGGTAATGGATGAAAAACTAACTCAGATGACTGTATACATCTTACCTTGTAAGAAGTCCTTAACCATGACAAAATATGTGAAGCAGGTTGTGTGAGAGAGCTGTAAGGGGTTCAGGAGTAATTGAGATTTGGATAAAAGGTACAAGAGAATGTCAGGGAGTTGATCACCTCTTTTCCTTACAGTTCATGGCAATGATATCGAGTGGGCGGTACAAAATTAGCTATGGCTTGTTAGGATAACGCTTTCCTTTGCTGCACGTCTGATTTAACCTATCTGGCTGACAGGGGTAAGGCAGAGCACTTGACCATGGGTGACGACACAGGTAATGCTCCTACCCTGAATGTGGTCTAACGTGACATGCCATGGAAGGCGATCACTTTATCTGACTCCAGGATGATAGTAAAATATAGAGATATAAGATCGAGATTAAAAAATTAAATAACAGAATATTTAACATGATAGAAGAAATGAATCAATTCATTATGTCCTTTTGAGAGAGACTGTTAAACTACCTTTAGAAAGTGGCAAAGTCCTTTCTCTACATACATGCTTGGAGATACCCCAAACTTAGAGATTTTGTAGTAGGCTGAAAAGTTCACTTATTGCACAATGCTTGGCAGGGAATAGATAATGTTGATATTTTTTTTGCCCAACTCCCTCAAGAAAATGTTTTACTTTACCAAAAATCTCATTTAGAGTTTTAGCAATAGGCAGACAGTTTTAAGATCTGGAAAAGTTTTAACAAATTTCAAACAATGAAACTGTACTTTTAGACGTACATGATCATTAACTCAACAGTCCTTGACAACACAACAGAACATCAGCAACTAAACTGGCAAACAGGCACAAAATAAGGCAAGTGGGTTAAATTAATAGTTGAAAATTTGTTAGAAAACATGCAAAAATAATACTGAGTTTTCTCTTAAAAAGTTTTAAACCGTCATTAAATGTTTGTTTTTGTAAAAATCCGTTCCATGTCTAAATGTGAAATCAGACTTTAAAAAGCCTAGGAAACAGCAGGGTGGCACTCCTCTGTCAGTTGTTGTTCTCTTTGGTGGTGATGGTGACCAGCTGCTTAGCAGCCTTGGCGATGTCGTATGCACACTGGATCACCTGCTGTGTGACCAGCTGGACGTCTGCGGGTAAGCTGGAGTCCCCTGGGAGAGTCTTCTTGCACTCTGACTGGAGTCGGTAGGCACTGGATGTCAGCAAGCGAAGGGAAGTCCTCACCATGTCAGACTTGGGTTTCTAAACAGAAAAACACGACCAGTCACTGTGAACTGTAGCTGTTGCACAGAGTGGAAGGCAGTTTTGCCATGTGCTTTCTCAGTAAGGATGGATGCTCTACACAAGCGGTCCTCAAACTTTTTAAACAGGAGGCCAGTTCACTGTCCCTCAGACCGTTGGAGGGCCAGACTGTGGGCCCCAGGACAAGCTGGCTGCTAAGCAGGACAGGCAGCAGCCTGGATAAATGTCTTAGGCGAGCTGCATGCAGCCTGTGGGCCGTAGTTTGAGGACGCCTGCTCTATACACACCTAGCTCTGCAGCCCACAGTTTAAGAAATGCCAAAATGCTTTGACTCACAGGTCAAAGTACATGCAGGGTAATTTTAGTAGGATATGCTATTTTGAGGTAGTTTTTTAAAAATATTAATCCACATGGGTGAAATATTTCAGATAAAATTTTATCCTATTAGGGTGAAAAACTAAAAAAAAAAAAAAATTTTATCCTATTAACACTTTGCCTTTTAGCCCTTAACTTGTATCGTACATCCTTGTCTTATTAATATCAGTGTTCAAAGAGAACAAAAATATTTCAAAGCTCTAACAACTGTTTGCATATTTACAAATTCTGTGTGCTACAGAAAGGTTAATATAATACATAAATCATAATGAATTTCTTGCAGTTCATTTAAAAGGATCTAAACAAAGCGTATAGAAAGTTGACTTACTTTTGGGAATAGTGCTGCCATTTCTGTAACTGCTATGTGTATCCTCTCTGAGCAGGGAATATAACTGCAAGAATATTGAATAGATTATTTATTTATTTATTTTTACAGTTTTTGGCCAGGGCCGGGTTTGAACCCACCACCCTCGGTATATGGGACCGGCGCCCTACCCCTTGAGCCACAGGCGCCACCCTGAATAGACTATTCAAAGACAGTAAAAGTGATTCAGAGGCAGAGAATACTTAAGTGCTAGAAGGTTCTATTTACATTCCCTTAATGAAGGGGATGAGGCTGTTGCCAGCCTGTCATGCATGATACCACCAGAAGGTACATGGTTGGAAAGCAGAGTCCCCATCCTCTCTTGAAAGCTCCATCCAATAAAAGCAGTCTCCAGGTGTGAGAATTGGCAACATGTACCACTGGCCTGGTGAAGCCACATTCATAGCTCCTCAAAGTGGTCATTTACTTCTCATATGGTTTACCTTCCTAATTTCTACAGAGAGAAAGCATTTCCATGCAAAAGGCCACAGAAGTGAAAAACAAAAGACTGAAAAAATTTCCTCAAGATTATAATCGGAGCTATACCTCAACAATGCCCATGTGTCAGTTAACCAGTGGACACTTCTAAATTCCTTCCATTCAAATGCATGTGTAAGAGAAGGCCCTGGCTTGGCGCCTGTAGCTCAGCGGCTAGGGCGCCAGCCACATACACCAGAGCTGGCGGGTTTGAATCCAGCCCGGGCCTGCCAAACAACGACAACTACAACCAAAAAGTAGCTGGACATTGTGGCGGGCACCTGTAGTCCCAGCTACTTGGGAAGCTGAGGCAAGAGAATAGCTTGAGCCCAACAGTAGGAGGTTGCTATGAGCTGTGACGCCACATCACTCAAAGGAGGGTGATATAGTGAAAAAAAAAAAAACAGAGAAGGCTCTGACCCTGATCTACAAAGTCACCATGTGCTTGTCTGTATAAAATGCTATCAGTGCGGTCGGCACATTCTCTGCTCATTGACCAGCTCTGCAGAAACAAAGTGCATAAAATGCGCCTGTCCTCACACTTTCTTCCAAGCTGCCTGGTCTTCTAGGGGCCCTGTAAATGACACCACTAGAGCTACAGCTTAAGGAGCACTACTTTGCAGACTCACATAATGTTCCAAACAGCCCTCTGAGGTTGGGACTATTCTCATACCCCCTGTTCAAATTCCTCCTCAGAGGAGAAGCAGATCCGGATGGAAAGAGGCCTGAGCTCACGCCCAGTGTCCATGCTATTGAAGAGGCAGCAGATTCACATCTACTGATGAGAGGTAATCTGACTGCTGGAAGAATTAAGACTTTGGTTCACCCATGTTGCTTATTCTTAGTACTGTGACAAGGAACAGATGGAGCTAGTTTCCTGCACCTTAAAAATGTTAGGTTTGCACCCTAGACAGTACATGCCACAAGATACAGACAGAAAAAACAAATTGATATTGGCATTGACAGTTCCTAGATACCACACTGCCACCGAGCCTGGGGTTCGTTTCTAGAAGGACCAACCCAGCCCAAGAGAGAAAAGAGATATGAGAAAGGCCCCTTCAGAGTCCATGTTAAGCATGTAGGAAACACTGCTGTGAACATCACAGGTTTGGTCTTACATAAGAACCCAAATACCATTCAGCATCCATTATAGACTCAAACCCTCATGTAATATCCCCTCCCCCCCAAACCATAAAGTTGACTTCTGAATAAAGATTGTCTTAAGAAACATATGTACTTCATCTCTGTAAGAAATTTAGTAACAAAACTGATTTAATTAAGACTGCCTGGCAGCACCCGTGGCTTAGCGGGTAGGGTGCCAGCCATATGCACCAGGGCTGGTAGGTTCAAACCCAGCCTAGGCCTGCTAAAAACAACAAAGAAACAAAACAAACAAACAAAAAACAAAACAAAAAACTCTGCCTATGTTTTATAATAATTAAATCAATACATTTCAAGAAAATGGTTTCTATTACCCCCAAATGCCCTCAAATGAGAAATCTTTCTACCTTTGTAAACAATTAGAACCATATGCCAAATCACAGAAAAGCTAACATATAAGGAGTATGAAGGGACAACCCATTTGGTCACACAGACACTGAGAAAAAGAAAACCATGTATCTCACATGAATGCTTCTTGAACTCAGGTGTCCACGAACATGACAGCACCCGAGAACCACACCTCAGAGTTTTATGGTTTGTTGGTTATCGTTTCATTTTGAGAAACACAATTTACCCGATCCCCCTGCTACATAGAGAAGGGATTTTTCCTAAGGCTATTTCTCAAAGTTCACTCACTATTTTGGGAAGTCCCCAGTAAACCACAAAAGAAAGCACACGCATATTACTGAGGAAGTCCTCCTTCTTTATCAGAGGGAGTTACACCTTCAAACTGGTATTTCTCCTAGTGAGGAGCAGTGGTGGCTCATGCCTATGATCCCTGCACTTTGGGAGGCTGAGACAGGAGGACTGCTTGAAGGCTGTAGTTTGAGATGGCCTGAGCAACAATGTGAGTACTCACCTCTACAAAATATAGGAAAATTAGCTGGGTGTGGTGGAACATGCCTGTAATCTCAGCTACTCAGGAGGCTGAGGCAGAGGATCACTTGAGCCCAGGTTATGGAGAGTTAGGACACTATTGCACTCTAGCCTGGCCAACGAGCAAGACCCTGTCTTAAAAATAAAAAAATTGGTATCTTTCCTCAAAAATGTTTTTGTGCATAAGTTATTAATTCCTGAATTGTGCATGTCTCTCTGTGTGTGTGTGCTAGGAGATGGGGAATGGGGTTAGAGGACATGGAGGTTGGACAGGGCTGCTAGAAAGTCAGGGGTTAAGGAAGATTGCTCAGATGAACAAGAGGGGAAAATGAAAAAAAGGCATGGGCTTAATTAGGATAATGCAAGGTTCTAAACGAAAGCATCTCAGATATCTAAGTAAGCAGAGATTTTAATAGAACACTGAACATTTTATAAAACATAAATACTCTTGGCCAACTCTGTTTTTAAACCAAACAAATGAGCTAATGATGAAAATCTCTGCATCCTTCTCTCATGGTCTTAAAAAGAAATTAGACCACGAAATGTGTTGAATGGATTTGTACATTTAAAAAAAAAAAACTTCTCAAATTGCATCAAGCACCATTTTGCCATCTTTGAAGCCAGAAATGGCCTCAGGGAAGATATTTATATTTTGACAACTATCAGAAAGAGCAATACAAAGTAAGCATATTTTCTAGTTGGAAATGTAAGCATAGGACTTCTGATTTCTTAGAGAAATGAAAGGTGGAGCACACTGGCAAGTGAAGGGGAGTGCTTGGGAAGGGTTGTTCTTGTATCAAGATTACTTTAAACACTGTCAAAGACTGTACTTTGGAAAGCTGTGGAACACTTTGCTTCAGGTAATCAGATATGAAGTCACTCAGTGCCAAGCCTAACACCCTGAGCAAAGAGACAATGCACTGACAACCTGTGAGGCCCGGAAGTCTTGGGATAAAAAGGGTGCCTGGGGCAGGGGAAGGCAAATCACTACAGGGCTTTGTGAAAGGCTGAGACACTAGGCAAGTTCTTGTTCTACTGTGAGGAGCATACGCAGTCCACCCATGGAGACTAACTCTAATTCTTTAACAAACAATGGCTTGGTCCTCTTATCCCCAAGGTGAAATGATGACACCCGGGAGGAGTCTGAGCCCATGAAGAGAAAAGGAAGGGAACACAAGGGCTCAGAGGCATCTCCGTGTGCAAGAACAGAGGAGAGAGGAGGAACGAATGGCACACATCCCTTGAATGCCTTCTGCCTGGGCAAGGCACAAAGAGAAGTCCTAGACTTTGCTGACGTCATGAAAAGAATGAGACTGTTCTTGGGTTGGACCAAACTCTGTTGTTTTCTCAGACTCAACAAAATGGTGTTAAACAATGTTTTACGAGTGTCTAGATATGGCCAGTCATGGGAAAGTAGGAGCTCATTCCAAGGGGTTCTAAGCTTACCAGGACTTCTCAGAGAACTCACAGAGAAAAGGGTAAGTTGGAACAAGAGCCATGCCTTTCCTTAAATAACTACATGATGTGCTTCTATTCAGGCTAAGCAGACAGACTCTCTTTTTTCATAAGCAGACGATGTTTTGAGTGATGATTAGCTCAACATTTTTTAAAAACAAATCTTATTATTACTTACATATATATATACTTTTTATTTTTTTGAGACAGAGTGTCACGTGGCGTCACAGCTCACAACCACCTCAAACTCTTGGGCTTAAGTGATTCTCTTGCCTCAGCCTCCCAAGTAGCTGGGACTACAGGCACCTGTCATAACGCCCGCCTATTTTTTGGTTGTAGTTGTCATTGTTGTTTTAGCAGGCCTGGGCTGGGTTCGAACCTGCCAACCCGGGTATATGTGGCTGGTACCCTAACCACTGAGCTATGGGTGCTGAGCCATGTTATATATTTTTTTGAGACAGAGTCTTGCTCTGTTGCCTTGGGTGGAATGCCTAGAGTCATAGCTCACATCAATCTCAAACTCTTGGGCTCAAGTGATCCTCTTGCCTCAGCCTCCTGAGTAGCTGGGACTACAAGGAGTCTGCCACCATGCCCAGTTAGTTTTTCTATTTTTAGTAGGGACAGGTCTTTCTCTTGCACAGGCTGTTCTGGAACTCCTGAGCTCAATTACTCCACCCACCCTGGCCTCCCAGAGTGCTAAGATTACAGTTGTGAGCCACCATGCCAAGCTGATTAGCTCAACTTTTCTTTCTTTCGTTCTTTTCTTTTTTTTTTTTTGAGACAGAGCCTTAAGCTATCGCCCTGGGTAGAGTGCCATGGCATCACAGCTCACAGCAACCTCCAACTCCTGAGCCCAAGCAACTCTCTTGCCTCAGCCTCCCAACTAGCTGGGACTACAGGCGCCCACCACAACACCCAACTTTTTTTGGTTATAGTTGTTATTGTTTGGCAGATCCAAGCTGGATTCGAACCCACCAGCTCTGGTGTATGTGGCTGCCACCTCAGCCGCTTGAGCTACAGGCACCAAGCCTCAACTTTTATTTTTAAACCATGTATTTCTTAGAAGTTTACATACATACTGATACACATATACCTGCAGTGTGAGACAGCTCAGCTTCTTTTCAGGCTACTGTTTGTGTGGGCAGCCTTGTCTCTAGCTGAGAGGAAGCCAGGGAGCAGCCATGGAGGAAGTTGGAAGCAGATTGTGACGTACCTCCCTTGCCCTCTCCTAGAATTAGGGCTGTCACCACCCCAAATATGCTGCAGTCCTATTTGTAGAGGCTTTTACTTTCAGAAAGCTTCGTAAGGAGATGAAAAGAATGACACCACCATGTAAACAAGACAAACCAAACTGAAACTGACTCATTTATTCTCAAGCCTGTTCTATAAACATGAAATTTTCAATGACCTTAAAGTCACCATGTTGGAAACCACCACCATTCAGAATGGGAGCAGCGTCCCCTTCAGAACATGCACATACATTCTCCCAAAGTGGGGTCTGCAGTCTCCCTTACCTGTCATGTTTATTTTCTTGGGCTGCTCTTAAGAGTTCCTGTATATTTTTGGTGATCTGTTCAGTCTTCCGGATGACGTCTTCAGTGCTGGGGAGAGTGGGGCTTGGGGCCACATAGGGTTCTGCCGTGTCTGGTACTGAGCTATCACCTGGCCACACCATACTTCTTTGCCTTCCCTTTCGGCTGGACCTGTGAACATTAAAGATGGGGCGAAATGCAATAGGCACAGCTGCTTCTCGGAGCCACTTTGTATGCACGGGCTGAATGCATGAGCAGGCTGTTTTTGTGGTTTCCTTTATCCTGTCTAGCAGGAGACTCATGTAAGGCTATTTCATCACCTGGCCACAACGGGTCATGTAGAGGCTGTTTTGTTCTACCACAGGGCTGGAAGTTACAGCTCTCACAGAGGGTGAAGGAGGGGAAAGAAGGGAGTAACTGAGTGGGCAGGGTGTGTGGTTGTAGAACCGTCCCTGATCAAGCCAATTCACTGGGGTATAAATGCACACTGTAACTAATGTTGACTTAACAATGAAGTATTGATTTTAAGGACATTGCAGATATCTAAAGACACACAGATATCTAAATGCCGGTAGAAGGAAAAAGGCCTTTTGGCAATAATGTGAGATAAGACAAGTAAACTATGAACATAAGGGTGAATATTTTAAGACCTTATGAGTCTGAAAATAGAGAAAAGGGGTATGAGTGGTGAAATGCTTCTGCTGCCCAAGGCCTGCTGGCTTCCTGGCGTGTGAGAGCCCATCCCCCAGCACGTTCTTCCTCCAGATGTACCCCGTGTCATCTGCCTCCATGTCGTTGGGAGTATTGTCATAGTCACTCTCAGGTGTGCTATTCTGCTTCTCCAACCTGGATGCCTACAGGAAAGAAATGGGGGCCCCTGTGAGTTTAGAACATGAGACACTTCTTTGGAGTCTTAAAGCTACTGACCTTCAAGCCCCATATCACATCTGGAACTGGAGTCAATTCTTTAGAGAAATTTTAATAAAGGAGGAGCAATGGCTTTGTTTTTTCTTTGCACTGTTTCCTTCTTAGCTCAATGGTTACTCCATAACAGATCCTTGGTACAAACTAACAGATATGAGAGGCAACACTCTTGTTTCATTCTAATACGATAAGTCCCAGTTCAAAACAAATATGCCAGCGCTTATATGACCATAGAACTTCAGTTGGAAGGCACCTGCAGATTATCTGCTTTAACACCAGATGAGAAAACTAAGGGCCAAGAAAGCTGAGTGACCCCCTAAAGGCCACAAAGTCCATGAAAAAATAGGACCAAGCAGCCAGGTTTTGGGCCTCCTAAAACATAACTCGACTGTGATAATTGCCACAGCTCAAAATATAGCTCTCCAGGAACCTTCCCAGAGATAGGTTTATGAGCCCTGGGAGAAAACTAGCATTACTAACTTGTAACCACGTGTTATTTATGAACCCAAGTGGATTACCCCCCATGACACTTGGTTTCAAATCACTTTTATGTTTCCAAAAATACTCCTTAAAATGTAAAGATTCAAGGCAACTGTGGATATTCAAGATTGGGATATAGACTCAAAAGAGGAATCCTAAAAATTTTTTTGAGCAAATGGCAGCACTGCTAAATACAGAGCATTCCAGGGCGACAAAAGTTGAAGGGGGCTATATTCCTTTGAAGGGGACTGTGTTCTGATGTGTTTAGTAAAAAATGATTCTCCATCAGTATTTACTTTATCCATAATGTCTGAGCATTTCTTTGTCTAGAATAGGAATCCGTAGACGCTGACTCAAATGGATTACTTTGCAAAATATAAACCATTCTTAGCTCTATACCTTGAATTTAATCCAAGTTATCAAAACATATGACTAAGAAATTTTATGGTGTTGCAATAAAGTGTGGCTAAGGATACAGATGTAAACAAAGAGGCTTGTTTAAACGTATGGAGATCCTGTAGTTTCACTGCAAAGAATGGTTACTTTTGAGCAAGTTAGTTTAAAGAACGTCTATATAAGTCTAATTATTTGTTCATTACTGATAATACCTGTTAGCCCTCCAATGGCCCTCTAGGTAAAGGCAAGGAAGCTGCCCTAAGACAGGGCCTCCTTGTTCCACCATATTTCTTTCTTTTTTTTTTAGTTTTTGGCTGGAGCTGGGTTTGAATCTGCCACCTCCCAGCATGTGGGGCCAGCACTCTATTCCTTTGAGCCATAGGCGCCACCCTGTTCCACCATATTTCATTTCCTTTTTTTTTTT